GGGCCGCGCAGAGGCGAACAGGCTGTGCTGAGCGCGGGCAGTGGGGGACGGGCCCTGCGGTGGCGGGTGGATGGAGAGGGGCGGCTGGCGCTGAGCGCGGGGTACGCTCTGGCCGCGCAACAGATCCCCCGCAGCGGCGCGCTGAGCAAGGTGAGCCCCCGAGCGCCCCGGGACCCCCGTACACGGGCCCTTCCGCATTGCCCTGACAGTTAGAGCTGGAGCCTGGGTAGCTCTCTGATCTCCCTCCTCCTTGGCGCTCAGACGGCTGGTTCGGGGGCCTACTCTGGGACACCAGATGTCCTCAGGAAGCTGAGGATTAAGATTCCCAGTCCGTGAATGGGATTGCGGGTTGCAGGTTTCTCCGCTCGTGCTGGGCTCACTCTCTGTGACGGGGAGAGGAGCTCGGCAGCCCAGGAGGACCTTGGAGTAGAGTCGCTGCTCCTCTGGATTGAGCCAGCGGAGGCGGCTCGGGCATGTGGAGGGGATGCCCCCCGCTGGAGGTGTACCAGGCATGGCCCGCTGGGAAGAGACCCCCAGGACAGGCCCAGGACCCGCTGGAGGGAGTCTCTCTCTCAGCTGGCCCGGGAGGAGCTGGAGCCTGTGGCTGGTGGAGGGGGGGTCTGGTCTTACCCTGCTCAGTGTGTTAGGGCCGCGAGCTCAGCAGGAGTAGATGGAGTGAGCGTATTCACGGGGCAGACACACGGACCTCACACACTGCTCGTGTCCCTGCTGTGTCCTCAGGCCCGCGGGAGCGGCGCGGTGGGGGTGACGTCCCTGGCGCTCAGCCCCTGGGACTCCGACGTTTTCCTGCTGGGCTCGGAGGGCGGCCTGGTGCTGAAGTGCTCCTTCTCCGCTCAGGCTGCAGCGGCGGGGCCCCCGGGGAGCGAGAGCCAGAGCGTGACGCTGAGGGCCCCGGCCCAGTTCTCCTTCGCCCCGCGCTGCGGCCCCGTCCACGCCCTGCACTGCTCCCCCTTCCACAGGTCAGCGCCGCCGCGCCGCGGGCCGGGCCCCAGCGGGGAGGGAGGTCCCCGATCGCTCGGTTCACCAGACGAGACGGGTTTTGTTTCACACCGCTAGCCAATTTGCTTTACCGCTGACTGCAAAAAGGCCTCAGTGTGTTAAAATGCAAACGCGCGAGGGGCATTTTTAAGAAAAATAATGACCCTGGCAGCTTTTTTTTCTCTTTTGACTTTAAACTTCCGTTTCCTTGGGAAATTTCGCCTGAGCGGCACCTGCCTGTAATGTCTCCTAGGAATGTGTGTGTGGAATGGGATGGCTCGAGTGCCTGCTGTTCAGTGTGCTCAGGCCTGTGGTTTCTGCTGCAGGAACCTGTTTGTGAGTGCAGGGACAGATGGCCTGGCCCACATTCACAGCCTGCTTCAGGCGTCCCCCGTGCTCTCGGTGCGCGTGTGCGACGCGTATGTGTTCGGTGTGCGCTGGTCTCCTACTCGCCCCCTGCTCCTCGCCGCTGCTACAGGACAAGGTGAGAGCCCATCTCCTTGCTAAACCACCTCCAAAGGCATCTTGCTATATTTTGAAATAGAGTAATTGCAGTTGTTGTATTTTGTATTTGTTCAGAGGGAACCTGTGCCACTGTTCCTGTGTTTGATTGTGCCCGAGAACAAAAGAAAGAGCCAGCTGGTCCTTGTCTGTTACTGAATGGTTTCCAGTTATACAGCCCCTCCTCTGCGTACAGGGCAGAGTCGATGTGTTTTGAAACTTCATTAGTGCAACAATAATTGCCTTAAAAAGATAATTGTGTAGTTACAAACTGTGACTATGCTTTATTTCAGAAAGTTCAGTTAATTCCACCAGATGCATTTTGTCTAGTGACGTTGTCCCAAAGCCTCTGCCCTATTTAACCTGTTTCTCACTCACGGGCTGTGGGAAGGTATTGCATTTCTTCCACTTGCATTTCCTGCAGGATCAGTGCTGCTCTTTGATCTGGGACGGGGGTCCCTCAGGCCCACAGCGACCATTGAGCACAGCGCAGAGGGCATGGCGGTCTCCTGCCTGGAGTACAACCCCAGACAGACGGACCTGCTTGCAGCCGGAGGCGCCGATGGCACGGTCAGCATCTGGCAGCTAAGCCCCGAGCTCACAGAACAGGGCCCCAGGGAGGTGGCACAGCTGGAACAGATCGCGCACGAGGTGGCGGAGTGATGATCACCAACCGTGAGTGCCACCCACAGCATGCCTCCAGTCTGTTACTGAGGCAGTTTGTCGTGGGTGAAAAAAGTATTTTTGATGCCTCTGCTGCTGTACAAGAACTGCCCTTTCTGTTGATGCTTGAGTATAGCTCATGTTGTATGTCTATCCTACCATTGTACAATATTTGTTTTTATGTATATTTGTTCCTTGCACTACACCCAGCATTTTCAGTAAAGCTGATTTTTGTCATTAGAAATATATACTGCAAAACAAAGTTTTGAAATTAAACCGATTCAGTCAAGGAAAATTACATACAATTTTTCCAGTTTGAACCAGTAGCGTTTTAATTAAGCTCACTGCAGGTACAGGAGTGTTGTTTTATTTTTAGTTTCTATGTCTTAAGATCTAGCGAAGCATTTAGTAGCTAACACCACAAAAACTGCAGACAATCACAAAGCTATCGTAAGAGTTACACAGAGAGAGCGAGTCAGCCTGAATCATGCAGGTGTGCCGTCGGAAAACGCGTCCCGATTTGTCACTGGCAGGCGAGGGGGGGACGGGGGATCAGTTGACGAAGAGCGAGCGAGTGAACTCCACGAAGTCGAAGGCCGAGGGGAGCTCACGGCCCTTGCTGTCCATGTAGGGCTTCATGTGCGAGATGCAGTAGTCGGCCTGCTCCTTCGTCAGGTTCTGGAAGCAAAACGTTAACAATTGGTTAATCCTTTCAGCCCTGTTACTTGAAAAGGTGTTGGTTAGGCAGGACATCATGATTAGGGCTACAGCAGGGAAACCAGGCCTAATTTGGGGTCCTCATACGCTGGCAGTGAGCAGTCTGGGAGAAGTGTTGAATTCCTGAGTTCTTCAACTCTTCTGGTAACAAATGGGGGATTGTCATAAGGGTATAGATCAATACACAATAAGCGAACAGTGTTTTCCAGTCAACACTACACTAGTCTCTTTCGGCACCACAGCAGACAGGCCATACTGTGGTGCTGGCTCGCTGCTCGGGCCTGGAAGCCTCGACAGAGCCTGAGGGCAGCGCAGCAGTGATGTCAGCAGTGTAGCGGGCTCCGGGACCCTACCTGGTAGAGCTCCTCTTTGGTGACGTAGGGCTTGTTCTCTGCACTGAGGGCTCGGAAAGCGCTTTCGATCTCCTCGCTGGACTTCACGTTCTCC